AAAAAAAAAAAAAGCTAATTTAATGTTTTGACTTATCAAAATGCCAAATTATTATAGATGGTTGAAAATATATGGTGCAGTTTCTGCTTTATCAGCTCTTGTAGCATGTGCTTCTAGAGTTGTTTCAATAGTTTCCTAATCTGTGACCTAAACATGAATTGAAAGATATGGATATATGAAATATAATTTCTGCTCTAACCATTGTTAGTTTAACATAGAATACCCTTATTCTGGGGCTGGCCCAGCGGCATAGTGATTAAGTTTGCTCGCTGTGCTTCGGTGGCCCCGGGTTCACAGGTTCTGATGCCGGGCGTGGACCAACGCACCACTTGTCAAGCCATGCTGTGGTGGCATCCCATATAAAGTAGAGTAAGATGGGCACGGATGTTAGCCCGGGGCCAACAGTTCTATAATTTTATTTATTTATTTTCCCCCAAAGCCCCAGCAGATAGTTGTAGGTCATAGCTGCACATCCTTCTAGTTGCTGTATGTGGGACGCGGCCTCAGCATGGCCGGAGAAGCGGTGCGGCGGTGCCCGCCCAGGATCGAACCCGGGCCGCCAGCAGCGGAGCGCACGCACTTAACCGCTAAGCCACGGGGCCGGCCCAACAGTTCTAAAGCTAATAAATATTTAAGAACACTATCGACAGAATGTCAGAAATTACATTTTAAGATTTAAATTTTTGTATAATGGAAAACATTTTAATATGATTGAGAACTATTATGGTATATAAAGAATTGGTGACGATGTACCCTATAAATATTTTGCTGCTTTGTAGACTTGAAGAAGAAATAAAAGAGGCACAGTTGAAAGCAAAGGAAGAAATGATGCAAGGAATCCAAATTGCCAAAGAAATGGCTCAGCAAGAGCTTTCTTCTCAAAAAGCTGCGTATGAAAGCAAAATAAGAGCCCTGGAGGCAGAACTGGTAGGAGGCACTTGGTTATCCTTTCTCTGCTGGTGCGCCTCGCGTGCCGTGCTGGCTGCAAGATGGGGCATGTAGCTGTGAGGGAACGGGAGGGTCAACCAGTCGAGTCAGGCCCAGCGAGTCTCGGCCTGCTTTAGTTTTACTTGGTCAGCAAGTTGTAGAAGACCTGTGGCTGCTGGCCGGAGAAGGAAAGTGAGGAGCCTCCGTCCTCCAGCCGCAGGAGCCACTGCCATCTCCAGGGTTCCCAGGCGATCTCTCGATCCTGGAAACCCGCCTTAGACGAGAACGCTCCGAAAGGCTGGCCAGCGATCCTGATGTTTAGTTAGGTTAGTCAGCCTGAATGAGGTAGGGAAGCTAGAGAGCAACCTGTTAGTGAGTCAAGTTCTCGTGCACTGAGTAAAGAAGGGGGCTTGTGTACTTTTTTGGTATCATTTTTGAAAAAAATCCTTTGTACTTTTTGCCTTACTCATTTTTTATTATTGCTCTTTAAAGAAAGAAGAGTCTCAAAGGAAGAAATTGCAGGAATTAAGTAACCAAAAGGCTAATCACAAAATTGAGGAGTTAGAAGAGGCAAAGCAGCGGCTTGAGCAGGAGATATGTGTCAACAAGAAGCGGTTAGAAATGGAGACTTTGGCTACGAAACAGGTAATTTCATGTTATTGCTAGTTTATGCTATTTTGAGGAGAAGCTAGATTTATTTTAAGAACTTACGGTATCTTGACAAGAGATGGCCAAACCCAGGTGTGCAGATGAGAAGGGCTCTTCTTGCCTGAGACCTTCCGTCCTGGTGCTGCTCACACGTCAGCACACACAGGCTTTGAGAGAGCCAGAGCTAGTGTTTCCATTAGTTCCATTCCAGATTTCTCTCTTGATGCATCCGCAACTATCGTGATCCGTCATGCCAGATAACATAAAGGAGGGAAACAATGCTGGGGCGTCCTCCACAGAAGGAGGAGAGGCCGAGCTCTCGCACTGGTCACACCCTGACAGCACAGTGAAGCATTGTCTGCCCGTGGAAAGAGGGCCAGCGGACACTTGCCTGAGTAGCTGCTAGGAGAATTCACAGGAGGGCGTCTGTGCCCTGTCTTACGAGCTCAGGCGTTGGCTCTTGTCATCTCACTGAGGACGGAGGCGTCTTTCAAGGGCCGACTCACATTAACCAAGTTCACAAGACCGAAGCATAAAACCTGAATGTCAACATGTTACTACCTTCAGTCAACCTTCTGTCAACCTTTTAGGCCATTCTTTGTCTTTGTAATAGTGCTTTTCTTTTTTTTTTTTTTTTTTTAAAGATTTTATTTTTATTTATTTTTTCCCCCCAAAGCCCCAGTAGATAGTTGTATGTCATAGCTGCACATCCTTCTAGTTGCTGTATGTGGGACTTGGCCCCAGGATGGACGGAGAAGTGGTGCCTCGGTGCGCGCCCGGTATCCGAACCCGGGCCACCAGCATCGGAGCGCGCGCACTTAACTGCCAAGCCACGGGGCAGGCCCCTGTAATAGTGCTTTTCAAGATGTGATCCTTAGACCTCATCAGCATCACCTGTTAGAAATGCAGGTTCTTAGGCCCCACTCCAGAACCACTGAATCAGAAACTCCGGTGGTGGGGCCCGAATCTGTTTTAACAGGTTCTGCAGGGGGTTCTGATGAATGCTAAAGTTTGGAGCCACTGTTTTAATCTCTGCTTTGATTCCTTATATCTCAAGGTTAAAGTTTTAATCTCAACTGGCAATTTTTTTTTACCCAAGTTTGTGGTGGGGGTGGGAGTTGGGGTGGAAGAAAATACTCCTAGTAACCAGAGTACTGATACTATAATGTGGTGATAATACCTGTATTGGCCAGCTGTAGAGCACAAAGGCTAGTGAACCACCTCAGAGAGCAAAAACATAGAACTGTCTAATTCTTGAAAACAGTGATATAATGGGCTGTTATAGGCTTATTTGTGTCAAATGAGGTTTCTTCGTATCTTTTAAATTTAACTTTTTTCTTTAGTCCACAGATGTTCTTGAGTGTGGGCTTTTTTGAGTAGTTTTTTTTTATTATTAAGGTTTTTATGCTTCCTACCAATTGGAAGAAAGATTAATCTATGTCATCAAAAATTCCTAATGATTTTGTTGTGGGGGGAAAAATAGTTTTCTAAAAATATTTTATAAATTTTGTTTTTTTCTGAGGAAGATTTGCTCAGAGCTAACAACTGTTGCCAATCTTCCTCTATTTTATATGTGGGCCACTACCATAGCATGGCTGCTGATGAGTGGTGTGGGTCCGTGCCTGGGATCTGAACCCAGGCTGCTGAAGCAGAGTGCGCTGAACTTAACCACTAGGCCACAGGACTGGCCCATAAATCATTTTTTAAAGGCCTTTTATGCTCAATAAAACATGTTAAACATGTATGCTTGATAAAACATGTACTTTAAAATGAGACTTAATAATAGTGTGTTACCATTATCAATCAAGTTTTATAATTTCTCTCTTTGCATGTTCTCATGTATGGGTCTATATGAATGACTATTAATTAGGCCTTAGAAGACCACAGCATCCGCCATGCAAGAATTCTGGAAGCTTTAGAAACTGAGAAGCAAAAAATTGCTAAAGAAGTACAAATTCTACAGCAAAATCAGAGTAATAGGGACAAAACTTTTACAAGTGAGTATATAACGATTTTAGTGGCATTTTCTGAAGTTATGTATGTTATTTCATGTAATTACTAAAATGTTAGAGGTAGTTGCCTTTGTGTATTCAAAACGTTTCATTCTAGATGTTGCTGACTTTTCTGGATCCAAATTTGTATGAATGATTGTTTTTAGACTATTCCGTTTTTAGAATGTTTAGGTATAAAAGCAAATAGTAAACAAAATTCCAAGTATTTTAATGTGTAACATGTTTTTTTTAAATTGACGTCATAATAGTTTATAACATTGTGAGATTTCAGTTGGGCATTATTATTTGTCAGTCACCATATAAATACACCCCTTCACCCCTTGTGCCCATCCCCCAAACCCCTTCCCCCTGGTAACCCCCAAACTGTTCTCTCTGTCTGTGTGTGAGTTTATATTCCACATATGAGTGGAGTCATACGGTGTTTGTCTCTTTCTCTGGCTTATTTCACTTAACATAATACCCTCTAGGTCCATCCATGTTGTTGCAAATGGGACTATTTTGTCTTTTTTTATGGCTGAATAGTATTCCATTATATATATATACTACATCTTCTTTATCCAGTCATCTGTCAAGGGATGCTTGGGTTGCTTCCACTTCTTGGCTATAGTGAATAATGCTGCAATGAACATAGGGGTGCATAAGCCTCTTTGGATTCTTGATTTCAACTTCTTTGGATAAATACCCAGAAATGGGATAGCTGGATCGTAAGGTATTTCTATTTTTATTTTTATTTATTTATTTATTTTTGTGAGGGAGATTAGCGCTGAGTTAACATCCGATGCCAATCCTCCTCTTTTTGCTGAGGAAGATTGGCCCTGGGCTAACATCCGTGCCCGTCTTCCTCTACTTTATATGAGATGCCGCCACAGCATTGCTTGACAAGCGGTGCGTCAGTCCAATCCCGGGATCAGAACGTGTGAACCCCGGGCCGCTGAAGCGGAGTGCATGAACTTAACTGCTATGCCACTCTATTTTTAATTTTTTGAGGAATCTCCATACTGTTTTCCATAGAGGCTGCACCAGTTTACATTCCCACCAGCAGTGAATGAGGGTTCCCTTTTCTCCACATCCTCTCCAACATTTGTTATTTTTTGTCTTGGTGATTGTAGCCATTCTCACGGGTGTAAGGTGATATCTTAGTGTAGTTTTGATTTGAATTTTGGTGATGATTAGTGATGTTGAACATCTTTTGATGTGCCTCTTGGCCATCTATATATCTTCCTTGGAAAAATGTCTGTTCATATCCTCTGCCCCTTTTGTGATTGGGTTATTTCTTTTTTTGTGGTTCAGTTGTATGAGTTCTTTATATATTATGGAGATTAACCCCTTGTCAGATATATGATTTGCAAATATTTTCTCCCAGTTGATGGGTTGTCTTTTCATTTTGATCCTGGTTTCCTTTGCCTTGCAGGAGCTCTTTAGTCTGATGAAGTCCCACTTGTTTATTTTTTCTCTTGTTTCCCTTATCCGAGTAGACATGGAATTTGAGAAGATCCCTCTAAGACCGATGTCAAAGAATGTTCTGCCTGTATTTTCTTCCAGGAGTTTTATAGTTGCAGGTCTTACCTTCAAGTCTTTGATCCATTTTGAGTTAATTTTTGTGTGTGGTGAAAGATAATGGTCTACTTTTGCATGTGGCTGTCCAGTTTTCCCAGCACCATTTATTGAAGAGACTTTCCTTTCTCCATTGTATGTTCTTAGCTCCTTTGTTGAAGGTTAGCTGTCTGTATATGTGTGGTTTTATTTCTGGACTTTTAATTCTGTTCCATTGATCTGTATGTCTGTTTTTGTACCAGTACCATGCTGTTTTGATTACTATAGCTTTGTAGTATATTTTGAAGTCAGGGATTGTGATACCTCCAGCTTTGTTCTTTTTTCTCAGGATTGCTTTAGCTATTCGGGGTCTTTTGTTGCCCCATATGAATTTTAGTATTCTTTGTTCTATTTCCGTGAAGAATGTCATTGGGATTCTGATTGGGATTGCATTGAATCTGTAGATTGCTTTAGGTAATGTGGACATTTTAACTATGTTTATTCTTCCAATCCATGTGCATGGGATATCTTTCCATTTCTTTATGTCATCATCAATTACTTTCAATAATGTCTTATAGTTTTCATTGTATAGGTCTTTCACCTCCTTGCTTAAATTTATTCCTAGATATTTAATTCTTTTTTTGTGATTGTCAATGGGATTGTATTCTCAAGTTCTCTTTCAGTTAGTTTGTTATTAGAGTATAGAAATGTAACTGATTTTTGTAAGTTGATTTTGTACCCTGCAAATTGCTGTAGTTGTTGATTATTTCTAATAGTTTTCCGATGGATTCTTTAGGGTTTTCTATATATAAAATCATGTCGTCTGCAAACAGTGCGAGTTTCACTTCTTCATTACCTATTTGGATTCCTTTTATTCCTTTTTCTTGCTAATTACTCTGGCCAGAACCTCCAGTACTATGTTGAATAAGAATGGCAAGAGTGCACCCTTGTCTTGTGCCTGTTCTCAGAGGGATGGCTTTCAGTTTTTCCCCATTGAGTATGATATTGGCTGTGAGTTTGTCATATATGGCTTATATTATGTTGAGGTACTTTCCTTTTATACCTATTTTGTTGAGAGTTTTTATCATAAATGGATGTTGGATCTTGTCAAATGCTTTCTCTGCATCTCTTGAGATGATCATGTGGTTTTTAGTCCTCATTTTGTTAATGTGGTGTATCACATTGATTGATTTGCAGATGTTGAACCATCCCTGTGTCTCTGGTATAAATCCTACTTGAGGATGGTGTATGATCTTTTTAATGTATTGCTGTATTCAGTTTGCCAATATTTTCTTGAGGATTTTTGCATCTATGTTCATCAGCAATATTGGCCTGTAATTTTCCTTCTTTGTATGGCCCTTGTCTGGCTTTGGTATCAGAGTGATGTTGGCCTCATAGAATGTGTTAGGAAGTGTTCCATCTTCCTCTACTTTTTGGAAATAGTTTGAGAAGGATAGGTATTAAATCGTCTCTGAATGGTTGGTAAAATTCTCCAGAGAAGCCGTCTGGTCCCGGACTTTTATTTTTTGGGAGATTTTTTATTACTGTTTCAATCTCTTTACTTGTGATTGGTCTATTCAGATTCTCTATTTCTTCTTGATTCAGTTTTGGGAGGTTGTGTGAGTCTAAGAATTTGTCCATTCCTTCTAGATTGTCCAATTTGTTGGCATGTTGTTTTTCATAGTATTCTCTTATAATCCTTTGTATTTCTGTGATATCCATTGTAATTTCTCCTCTTTCATTTCTAATTTTATTTATTTGAGCCTTCTCTTTTTCCTGGTGAGTCTGGCTAAGGGTTTGTCAATTTTGTTTATCTTCTCAAAGAACTAGCTTTTAGTTTCACTGATCCTTTCTACTGTTTTTTTGGTTTCAATTTCATTTATTTCTGCTCTAATTTTTATTATTTCCCTCCTTCTGCTGACTTTGTTTCTTCTTCTTTTTCTAGTTCTGTTAGGTGTAGTTTAAGATTGCTTATTTGGGATTTTTCTTGTTTGTTAAGGTGGGCCTGTATTGCTATGAATTTCCCTCTCAGGACTGCTTTTGCTGCATCCCATATGAGTTGGTATGGGGTATTTTCATTTTCATTTGTTGCCAGATATTCTTTGATTTCTCCTGTAATTTCTTCAGTGATCCATTGGTTGTTCAGTAGCATGTTGTTTAGTCTCCACATCTTTGTCACTTTCCCAGTTTTTTTCTTGTAGTTGATTTCTAGTTTCATAGCATTATGGTTGGAAAAGATGCTTGTTATGATTTCAATCTTCTTAAATTTATAGAAGTTTGCCTTGTTTCCCAACATATGGTCTATCCTTGAGAATGTTCTATGCGCCCTTGAGAAGGATGTGTAATCCACTCTTTTTGGATGGAGTGCTCTATATATGTCTATTAAGTCCATCTGGTCTAGTTTTTCATTTGAGTCCACTATTTCCTTATTGACTTTCTGTCCGGATGATCTATCCATTGATGTAAGTGGGGTGTTAAGGTCCCCTACTATTATTATGTTGTAGATATCTCCTTGTAGGTTTGTTAATAGTTGCTTTATGTACTTCGGTGCTTCTGTGTTGGCTGCATATATATTTATAAGGGTTATGTCTTCTTGGTGGACTGTGTTTTATCATTATATATTGCCCCTCTTTGTCTCTCATTACCTTTTTTATCTTGAAGTCAACTTTGTCTGATATGAGTATGACAACACCTGCTTTCTTTTGTTTGCCATTAGCCTGGAGTATCGTCTTCCATCCCTTGACTCTGAGCCTGTGTTTGTCTTTAGAGCTGAGATGTGTTCCCTGGAGGCAGCAAATTGTTGGGTCTTGTTTTTTAATCCATCTAGCCGCTGTATGTCCTTTGATTGGGGAATTCAATCCATTTACGTTTAGAGTGATTTTAAAAAATATATCTTATTCTAATCCTCAGTTCTTACTTTATAAGAATTATTATCTAGATTGTGCTTTATCATTGGGTACTTCATTTTCTTTCTCACTTGCATGGTTTTTTTTTGTACGTTTCTGTGTAGAAGACACCATGTTTTCAGTGTGAACTTTTTTTTCATTATGGACAATTTCAAACAGACTATAAAAGTAGACAGATTACTACAATAAACCCTTATGTACTTATCATCCAACTTCAACAATTACCAGCACATATTCAGTTATGTTTTGACTATCCTCAATTCCCCTGCCTACCTGGACTATTTTGAAGCAAATCCCAAATGTCATATCATTTGATCTGTAAACACTTCACTATGCATCTCTAAATTAGATAAGGACTCTTCTCTCTCTTCCTCTGTCACTCTTTTAAACATTACTATGATATTATTATCACACTTAAAAATATTAATAATAATTTCTTACATTCATCAAATATCTAGTCCATACTCAAATTTCCTGGATTATTTCATAAATTTTTTTTATATTTGGTTTGTTTGAATCAGGATACAAACATGATCCATACATTGTATTGGTAGGTATGCCTTTTAAGTCTCTTATTCTGTAAATTGGCTCTTCTCTCTTTCCCCTTGTAATTGATTTGTTGAAGAAATCAAGTTATTTATCCTGTAGAGTTTCCCAGATTCTGAATTTTGCTGATTGTATTTCCATGGTGTTGCTTAACAGGGTCCTCTGCCCCTATATTCTCTATAAAGTGGTAGTTATTTCTACAGGGCTGTCATTCAGGTTCAATTTTTTAGCAAGAATACTTGGTAGTTGTGTTGTATACTTTCTGTAACTTCTATTTTTAAATGACTTTGAAATTAATACTTTTTATATCTGTTGCAGGAGATAAAAAGATGTAGTACTACAATGTATTTATTTATTCCTCTTAGGGCCTAAAACGGTGCCTTGCAATGAATACTTGATATTTTTTTGTCCATATGAGTAAGGAATTCTATCCTTTCGAAAAAGTGTATTTAATGGAATACTGGTTATAAGTTTGACTATACAATATAGAAAATATTTATGACAAAATCTTAAATTTAAATTAGGAACATGGAATTGTGGACTAAATTGTTTTTCGTTTTTCTGTCCTGATGTATCTCTGTCTCTATCTCTGTCTGTCTGTCTGTCTGTCTGTCTGTCTATCTATCTATCTATCTATCTATCTATATTTTTAAAAGATTTTCAGGCAAAGTAAAAAAGAATTGTGGTTGTATATAAGTAAGGCTGTAGTATGCTTTACCTAATACTTTAAATAAATTAGAAATTATACAAAAAGAAAATCTTTAAAGATCTTAGAAGGAAAAGCATTGTCTTTGGCATTTCCTCTCTTACAGAATCCTTATCCTCTCGATAGCAACTTGAATTTCCTCCATGCATCCACAGGACATTTTATGTAAAGAATATTTTATTTCACCAATGCGAGTTGAAGACAAGTTACTCAAATATCACATTTCCCTCCTGTAATACATAGTTAAAACCATTCATTTAAAGTCAATAACTTTTTTTTTAGGAATTTTTCTGCCTAGTGATAAGTTAGTGCTCATATTTTGAATCTTCTCTGTGCTTTCTATCAGTTCAACCAAATTGGAGCTCCATGAAACTCTCAATGCTGATTCAAGAGGCCAATGCCATCAGCAACAAAGTAAACAAGTGTTATGTGTTTAGCAGGTAAGCAATTAGTTAAATAACTTAAATGTAAAGTAGTTCTTTGTTTTAAACTAGTTGACCCTCATGTGATTTTTTTTTTCTTTTCTTTTTTTTTTTTTTTTAGTTTTTCTAAAGACATGGTATTCTGCAGTGTCTGTCTAAGAACAAACAGGTGTCAGGATCCCCAGTGACCCTTTCAGAGCTCCTTCTGGAGTGGAAAAGGCTTTCAACAGTTAATATCCTAGTGTATTTTATAAACAGAATGATTTTAGATGTTTTAGGAATTTACTGATTTACTTTTGAGTTGAAAATTTATCAGTATTCCATATTTTAAAAGGAATATATTTTATTAGAATTTTTTTGATTTTTAAACAATTTTTATATAAGAAGTTATTTTAATATAGTATATACTAGACATGATTACTATAATGAAAATGCTTAACTGTAGAAAGATTACTCTATCAGTGGACTGAATTCTTTGGAAGATATTCTAATTCAGAAGACTCCTAGTATAGATGGTATTTGTGCTTTAGGGTAAGCATTTTCCTTTGGCGTTTCTTTCAGACATGATCTAGCAGATAAAGGAAGTCGTCCTGACACTTCTGTTCGCGTCCGTAACCTGCGACTAGGGGTCTCCACTTTCTGGAGTCTGGAAAAGTTTGAGTCTAAGCTTGCGGCAATGAAAGAACTTGATGAGGTTTGGAATATTGTTAAAATTTCTGTAAACTTTTTTTTTTAATAAATATTTGTAGTGTTTAAAAGTTTTTTGAGGAAGATTGGCCCTGAGCTAACATTTGTTGCCAATCTTCCTCCTTTTTTTTTTCCCTTTTTCCTCCCCAAAGCCTCAGTAGATAGTTGTATGTCATAATTGTACATCCTTCTAGTTGCTCTGTGTGGGACGCCACCTCAGCATGGCTAGATGAGCGGTGCGCCGGTCTGCGCCCAGGATCCGAACCAGCAAACCCCAGGCCACCAAAGCAGAGTGCGCAAACTTAATTGCTATGCCACCAGGCCGGCCCTCTGAACTTTTAGAAATAAAAATATAAAAATGACATATTCTTAGGCAAATAAAAGAAAAAGCAATCCACATTCCCCAAACCAACCAATATTAACAATTATGTCTGTTGACTTTACTTTTGTCTATAGCTGGGGTTTTATTAGTTTGTTTTAATGTAGTTATAACTGTAATACAGGAACTGAGTACAGAGTCTATTCAGTTATAATTGTGTTTCTAAAATTTTACATTTAAGCACAAGAGAAGAAGAAATTTGATAGACATAAAGCAGTTTGCATGATACGAAATTCTCTTCAATTCCTAATGTGCATTTTTACATAATTACGTTTACATTTCCCCATTGCTGTGCTTTTGGCTGTTTCCAATTGTTTGCTGTTTTAATAGTCACAACAAAAAATATCTCTGCACATATTAGTTTTTAATTTTATTTCCTTGTCTTTGGTTTTCTAGAATAGAAAATATGATTTTTTTATTGTACTTTGATGCTTGCTGGCAATTTGCTTGCCGGGAATATTGCCATTTACCAATGTTACCAGTTTGTTTTAATTTATATTTTAATAACTAGTGAATCTGAGGATTTGATTGTTTCTCTATTGGTCAAGTACGTGTTCATGTCCTTTGAATTTTTTGGCGAGTGAAGTGCGGGTAATGAATTAATATATCTATAAAAGCTCTTGCATGTTTTGATAATAAACCTGTATTTTATATTTATTATGTACATTTTTTCCCCTGGCTGTATTGACTTCTTCTTGGTTTC